GTTTTCCGAGGGGACTAGGTTTGAAAGGACCAGGGTTGAGTATAGCACAAAACTAACTCAGTGGTCCATTTTCTTTCCCCACTCTCCAAAGAGTTCAGAGATAATTCTCCTGGAAGACTGCCACGCTCCTGGGTGAATGCACAAGGGGCCTTAGAAGTTAAGGAACCTCAGTGGCCGTATGCTATGCAGCTAGTTCAGGTTCACAGTGCTCCAAATGCACTGAAGAAAACAAACAATAAAAAGCCTCTGAAGTGAATAAAGCTCTGGATCAGACTACACACAGCTGACTGGCCTTGCCAAGCAGGAAAGTCAGAGGAGGACTCAACATTTGCATAGCATCAGTCTGTTAGGTGGGAGTAGAGAGAAATATATCAGGCTCCAGGTGTGACTCACTAGCCCTCTCCTCCATACATGGTGGATTCCAAATGAGAGGCTCAGAAAAGAAACTTTAAAGCATGGGGCAATTTTTTGGACTCATCAGTAACTGGAATACAAACATATCAAAATGGATGAAAAGCTAGGCATAGAATTCAAAAAACTGACAAAGTCAGGCAGGGCATGGTAGCACATGCCTATAATCCTCGAGCTCTGGGAGGCAAAGGCAGGAAGACTGCAAATTTAATCCTAGCCCTGGAAGGAAATAACTGCCGACCTAGTTTACTGTATCCACCAAAGCCATCCTTCAGAATTGAAGGCCATATAAAGACTTTCTAAGATAAGCAGGAAATAAAGAAATTCATGACCACTAAGCCAGCATCACAGAAGATATTTAGAGAAACCCTACACATAGAAGAGGAAGAATACATGAGCAAACAAGCATTAGGAAAGAATCACACTTTAGAAAAACAATAAAATGATTAGAATTAGTGCATAACTCAAGGTCTTTGAAAAACAAGAATAAGCCAAACTCATTACAAGGAAAGAAGCAATAAAGATCAGAGCTGAAATTAATGAAATGGAGACTAAAAGAACAATTTAAATGATCAAGGAAATAAAGTTGGTTCTTTGAAAAGACAAACAGAATTGATATTGTTGGCCAAACCAAAACCCCAAAAAAGAAAGAAAAGAACAAAATAAACACAACTACAGATTAAAAGGGGGATAATACAAGACACTGCTGACATCCAGAGGATCATTAAGGACTATTTTAAAAACCTATATTCCAACAAATTGGAGAATGTAGAAGTGGATAAATTTCTAGACCCCTATGACCCACCAAAATTGGACCAAGAGGATATAAAAAACCTAAACAGATCAGTAAAAGAGACTGAAGCAGCAAAGAAGTCTCCCAACAAAAAGTCCAGGAACAGACGGATTCATTGAATGTTAACAGACCTTGAAAGAAGAAACACCAAAGTCCCTCAAACTATTCCATGAAATAGAAAGGAAAGGAGTACTTCCAAATTCTACTTGGCCAACAGCACCCTGATGGCAAAAGTGCATAAGGACACAATAACAATAAAAAAGAAAACTACAGGCCAATACTCTTAATGAACACAGTTGCAAAAATAATTAAAATACCATAAACCAAATTCAACAACACATTAAAAAGTACATCCATTCTGATCAAATAAATTGGTTTCATTTTAGGAATACAAGGATGGTCAACATATTAAAATCAATAAACACAGTACATCACTTAAACAGAATGAAGGATAAAAATCACATAATCATCAACTGATGCAGAAAAGGCTTTCACCCACATTCAGCATTCCTTCACAAAAGCCCTGAAGAAACCTGCTAGAAAAGGCCCGTACTTCAAGATAATAAAAAAGAGCAATGTTGGTGGCATCACAATACCTGAATTCAAAATATGCAATAGAGCCACAGTAACAAAACACATCAGGATACTGTCATAAAAACAGGCACATAGGGCTGAGGATTTAGCTCAGTAGCACAGTACCTCGTTTGCAACCGCAAAGTCCTGAGTTTGATCCCTATTACTAAAAAAAAAACACACCCAACCTGCCCCCCCAAAAAATCCAGGCACATACACCAATGGAAGAGAATAGAGGACACCAAAATAAGCCCACACAGGTACAGCCTGATTCTTGACAAAGGGGCCAAAAACATACGTTGGAGAAAGACAGCCTCATTAACAAAAGAACAGCGTTTTTTTTTGAAAACTGGTTATCCGTATGTACTACACTTGATCTTAGCCAAAAGGCCGAGAAGCGATGGTTATGCATATGTAAAAGACTGAAACTAGATCCTCATCTATTGCTCTGTACAAAAATTAACTCAAAATGGATCAAAGCCCTAAATATAAGCCTTGAAATTTTGAAATTTCTGATAGAAAACATAGGGGAAACATTTCAGGATATAGGCAAAGGCATGACTTCCTAAACAGGACTCCAATAGGATAGGAAATAACAGCAAGAACTGATCAATGGGACTGGATCAGATCAAAATGCTTATGCACAAAGAAGAAAGTGAAGGGATAGCCTACAAAATGGGGGGAAATCTTTGCTAGCTGTGCTTCTCACAAAGGATTAATAGCCAGAATATGTAATTAACTCAAAAAACTTAACTCTCCAAATGGACAAATCAAAAAATGAGCACTGTTGGGACTGAGCACAGTGGATTATTAGTAACCTTTCAGAGCTCTGCTTTTATCTGTCACAGATTTGGCATGAAAATGGAGTGAAGGGGATGTGTGTGGAGTGCCTGGCCTGGTGCCCAACCGCTCGCTGCTGGCTAGGGCTGCACACCTGTCCTCCTGGTTGTGCTGTGGGCCCCGCTGCAGGCCCCGCTGCAGGCCCCGCTGCAGGCCCCACTGCAGGATGAGAGGCTCACTGTGCTTGGGAGGCTTTCTCCAACTCAGAAACAAACATTTCCCTCATCCTTGTTGCTACACCAAAGGTTCTGTGAGTCAGCACAGCAGAAAGGCAGTGAGTCCCTGTCTGCTGCTGAGGGATCTGGCTGTGATGCTCCAGAGGAGGAAGCTCTGCACCTCCCGGAGCATCTTTGCTACCTTGGGAGAAATGTTAGGGTCTCACTTTCAAAGATTCGTTGTATGGAGAAGAATAAAGCAATGCTGTGATTTCAAAAAAAAAAAAAAAAAAAAAAGGGCAGGCCAGGAATTTAGCTCAGTGGTGCCGCAGCCTGACTCACAAGCGCAAGGTCCCAAGTTCGAGCCCTGGTACCAAAAAAAAAAAAAAAGGCAACCTGACTCATGTCTCATAAGAAAAAAACTAGAAAAAAAATTCTAAAATTCATAAGAAAACACAAAATATCCAGAACAACAAAAGCAATCCTAAGCAAAAAGAGCAATGCTATTATCAACAAGAGAAAAAATCTTGGGAAAATGTTGGCAAAGACGTGGATAAAGGGAAAGTCTCATCTATTCTTGGTAGGAATGTATGTACATTAGCACAGCCATTATAGAAAACAGTATGGAGGTTCCTCAAAAAATGAAAAACAGAACTACCATATGACCAATCCAGCAATCCTACAACTGGGTATATCGACAAGAAAGAAAATCATTACATCAAAGAGGTATCTGCATTGTTATACTTATTGCAGCATTATTCACAATAGCTAAGATATGAAGTCAAACAAGATGACCATCAACACATGAATAGATAAGAAAATGTGGTACGTATACTATATGGAATATTGTTCTACCATAAAAGGAATAAAATCCTGTAATTTATAGAAACATGTATGAACCAGGAGTACATTATGTTATGTAAAATAACCCAGACACAGAAAAGACAAGAACCAGAAGTTCTCTAATATATGTGGAAGCTAAAAAAGCTGATCTCATACAAGTAGAAAGCAGAATCGTGGTTAGCTGAGGCTGGGAAAAGGTGGTGGTGGAAGTATATAAGAAAAGGGCATTTCACAGGTACAAAATTTCAGTTAAACAGAATAAATTCTAATGTTCATAGTACAATAGAATGAATTATTACATATTTCAAAATAGCTAGAAGAGAGGATTTTAAATCTTCTCACCAAAAAGAAATGATAAATGATTAAAGTGGCACATACGCTAATTACCCTGATTTGATCACGAGACATTGTATATGTTTCATCAAAACATCACAGTGCACTATAAAAAATGTGTAAAATTATGCGTAAATTAAAAAATAAAAATGAGATCTTAAAAATGAAAAACACAATTTCTGAAATATGATCTCCACCTAGATTAAAGCCAAGACACTGAAGAAGAAAGAGAATCAATGTTTGGAAAATGAAGTTAGGATTTGTCCTGAAATGAAACAAAAAGAAATAAAGGACTATTTGAGAGGAAAGTTATAAATAACATGAATGTAAAAGTTCTAATATCTGTCTTCTAGGAAAAGAAAAAGAAGACAGGTATGCTAATACCTGAATAAATAAATTCAAAGTATTCCAAAAATTACAGAAAGATGCCAAGGACTGCAAAACAATATTTTTAAAGCTTAAGGGCTGGGGATTAAGCTCAGCGGTACCATGATGAAGCAGGTGCAAGGTCCTGAGTTTGATCCCCAATACCCACCCCCCCAAAAAAATTCAGCCAGGTTCAATAAAGCTTAGATATATTACAGTGAAACTTCTGACTATAAAAAGTCTTAAACATCCATTCTTCTGTGAAATTTTTCTGAATTCCAAATCAATCACTCCTTTTTCTGTGCTCCTGGGGCTTTTCACCATCTTTCAAATTATAGTGCTTATCAATGAAGTACTATTCCATGTTAAACATCATTTTCAGTTCAAATATTTCTCCCTGACTAGACTGACCTTAAGGAATAAATCCTTACCTTATTCATTTTAAAATTCGCAGCATCTATCACACTATGTACTGTAAGGCAGTAATCATTAATAGGCTAAAAAAATAAGTTACAGTAAAAAGAGTTTACTTGAAATTCATTTGCCATAAAGACATGTTAAAATTTTAAAGTTAAAAAATACTCAATAACCTCAGCCACGTGTTTTTCGTATTACTCAGACCATAAAATATATAACACCTCATTGATTACTACAAGGATTCTTAAATTTTACAAAAAGATATTTACCTGTAGTTATGACTACCACAAAGGCACTGATAAATACAAGCAGAAAGTGAGGCTGCTAAAGTATGCATTACATATACCTGGAAAAAAACAAAAACAAGATTACTTTAGTGTAATTTTTTAAGTACAATTTTTTCAAGATCTAATATGATCATCATTTTTTAAATGAAAAAAACTATTGTGTAAACTATTTTCTTTCCTTTTTAAAAAAAATACTCATTTCTAACTAGAGAAGTCTTACTATAGAAAATTTAAATGACCACCACACAAATACAAAAAAAATCAGTGAATCCTTTGGCAGAAATTATTAAATACCCAAATACTATATAATTTCCTTTCCAAAAACAAAAGGAAACAAATGTCAGGTATCCAATAGAGCATGAACTATGTGTTAAAATAGCACGTCCTCAATAATTTTTTTCTACAACCACAAACAATGAAGAACAGACTGATAAATGACAGGTCTCTGAAGAAAACACTACTGTATCTTCTAATTATCAGGGAAAACAATCTGAAGAAAGTGAAACTTTAGAGAAGGGAGAAAGGACAAGGTATGAAAGGCAATGGAGTCAAAAAGTTGTTTTGTGGAACAGAAGATTCTGAAAACCAAGGATGACAGACAAGTTTAAGCTAAGAAAGTAAGTTAGACTAGAATACTGAAAGATTCTCTATGATTTTTAGTAAGACTGTATGTACATAAAAACAGTGAATCATCAAAATCTCATTGCTATCTTCTGCTTCAAGTATCAATGAGACATGATATGAATCTTAAAAATCACATTATTGTGATTTTTTAAAAGACCACATATGAGAGATTACAAAAATGATCACAATAATCACAGTATTTTGTAGCTTCTCCAATAGAGGTGGAATCTATTTCCCAACTCATTGAATCTGGCTGGCTTTCTGAAGAGGACCCAACAGAAGTGATGTGTGAGTTCTGAACCTACTCTTCAAAGGGCCTTGCAAATCATACTCTTGTTGCTCTTAAACCCCTGCAGCCATCATTTGGGAAAACAAAACAGGGAGTAACTGTGCCTCAAAGTACACACACAGCTGGACAAATATTATTTTCAGTGTGTCTGTGAGGGTGTTTTCACATGAGAAACACCTGAATCAGTAGTCTGATTCACATTCTCTCTAATGTGGGTAGGCACCATCCCACTAACTAGAAGACCTAAAGAGAACAAAAAGGATAATAAGTAAGAGGGAATTCATCATGCCCACTGCACTGAACTGGGACAATGGTGACTTCCATCTTCATACTCAAACTGAAACATCAGCTCTTCCTTGATCTTACGCCTATTCACTTTTTAACTGGAATTCATACTTTCTTGATTCTCAGGCTTTCATTCTTGAACTGGAACTGCATCATCAGCTCTTCTGGGCCTTCAGTTTATTCACTGCACATCTTGGGACTTCTCAGCCTCCACAGTCCAATGAACCAGTTTCTTGTAATACACACTCTCTTGCTCTGTCTCCCTTTCCATATACGCAAGTCAGCACTGGTTCTGCATCTCTGATCAACTCAGACTGATACATTTACTAGGCTTGCTGGCTGGAAGGTGAGGCACATATAACCCAGATTCTCCTGGCAGCCTAGCCAAAGCTAGAAATGTATGAGGACACCCTAGATCATCCAGAATCCAGTCAACCCACCAGCTGATGGAGGATGTTTGAACAAATAGAGACCAGCCAATCTAGCCCAACCCAGAAATGATAAGCCAACCTACAAAATCATACGAATAAGTGACAGCTTTATAAAGTCCCTAATGTTTCAGAGTGATTTTTAAACGGCAAAAAATACTTAAGGTAGCAAAAACTAATGTGTATGGTTATGCTATAATTAAAGCTAAGTATGAAATACAGTAAAACAAGCATAGTCAGAAGGAAATTAAATTTCAAACTGTGTAATAAGCTCCATGAGCATTTATAATATAGAACAGTACAGGAAAAGAAGGGGGGAAATCAAATTACAAGAGTTAAGGTTATCCAAGAGCGTAAAACTATGGAAAAAGAGTCTACCATGAAGCAAGCTGAAAATCAAACTGGCTTTATGTCTTAACCTGTGAGGTGGGTAAAAACCAGATGCTAGACTATGAGGGCAAAAATCCAAGGGACATTAAAAAATAAACTCAGTCCTACTTCAAAAGATTTCAAAGAAAATGAAGATGAAATAAGAAATATGACATCAACATTAGACAAAGTAGAGTGATAACGAGTAAGACAATGCTATGGTGGATTAGATAATTAACTATAATAACATGATTAGTTATGCATTAGAATCACCAGAGGACCTTCTTAAAAATATACATATTTCTAGGACCTTTCTCACAGACTGACTCAGTAAGTTTGGAGTTAAGTCAGCAATCTAAGCTTTCAATAAGCATAGGTGATAGCTAACCTAGAATATTGTCAGGGGTAAAATATTTCACAACACTATCCTTAAAACACATACTGTATGTTAACAAAGGTAAACTTTAGTGCTTTTATACCAAAATACTAAATTTCTTTCTTTTTTTTTTTTGTTTTGTTTTGGTACCTGGAATCAAACTCAGGACCTTGAGCTTGTGAGGCAGGCGGCAGCACCACTAAGCTAAATTCCCAGCCCCTAAATTTCTATTCTTGAAAAACACTTTTTCAGCTTTTTGGCTATATGTACTAAAGGAATCACTCATGGATGAACACACAAATCCATTGCTCTTATCCTAATGAAAACTAAATATCTAGTATTTCATATTTTTAAAAATTGAAATATTATATCGGCTATAACACAGTAAGATAGGCTTGGTCTACAATCAGAAGTTTTCTCTAATCAGAATCAATATAAATTTGGCAATGTAACCCTTGCTACATCTACTGTGATATTTACATTTGCTTTTTTAAAAGGTTTACCATTTATCTTTCAGTTTTGTCACTATATACAGTTATATTAAAATCTTGAAACCAAGCACTTACTTTATTGCTTTGGCTGTCAGGATGAGGTGGTGAATCAAAGTTTATTATGGCATGGAGAATATCATGTGTTAGATTACTGAGGTGTAATAATGGATTGGCAACTACTGTTTTGGCACTGGCTGTACAAGCAAAGAGGAGAGGCACTGAGGTTTGCTCTGACAGTGGACTAGGAAATAGTAGTTCTGACGTTTCCTTAAAGAGAGAGGGGGGAAAAAAGATTAATCAGCTATTTACAGTAGTAATCTATTAGATAGGTAATGTAGGGAATTCTCTGAAAAACTTCAGAATAATAAAAACTAAAAACATCATGAAAACGGAGAGTAAAAAGGGACCTGAAGAGGTCAACATTCAAGCAGTCATATTTAAAAATGATGAGTCAATACCCCTTGTAACAAAAAGGATTTGTTTTTGTGTTTTTTGGTATTAGGAATCAAACTCAGGCCCTTGTGTTTGCCAGGCAGGCACTGAGCCACTGAGCTACAACCCTGGCCCCCTTGTAACAAAGAGAAGCTGTTCACCTTACATAGGATTGATGTTTTAAGACTACAGAATACAAATTAAACAGATCATAAACAGCCTGATATAGAATTGTCCTCCAACTGCAATATATACATAACTCCACAAATTCATAAAAGTGAACATTCCTTAAACCAACGCCAATGAAGAAAACCAAATTTTAATATTCAAAACAAAAAATACAACATCAAAAATTGTTTCAGGCATGCACTATTTTTGATGATTAGAATAACATACCTGCTGTGATTCTTGTAAAAGCAAAATCAATTCCATTCGCACAGATGCAAGACCCCCACCATGGGAGCCATGAAGTATGCAATAACTAAGAAACATTCTTAAGAGTGACTGATATTTCAAGAGCCACTGTTTTTTTTCCTGAAAGATTTCTCTCTGTTGTTTCACTTTTGCATGGTGATGAAGATCATCAACATTCTCATTTGATCCAAATTCATCCCCATTTTTGCCAAGTGTAGACTGCAGTTCTTCAGCATCTGGGCAAAAGTCACAAGTCCTTTGAAGAGCTATCACCTCTTTTTCAAGCCAGTGATAGAGTTGGTAACGTAACTTTCCACCATCTATTTCATAGCCAGTAGATAAAGTACGAAGTTCTACTGTGAGAATCTTTAAACATGCTCTAAACTTTAACTGAACAGCAATTATATCTTCTGATGGGTTTAAAATGTCACTTTCATCTAGTGTGCTGAAAGATTCTGAATAATTACTTATTTCATCTAACTTTTTATCTATTTTCCTCTGTAAAGGTTTTAGTTCTTTCATTGAAATAGGAAGACTCTCATTTTCTTCATCATTATCACTGTCCCACTTTAACTCTAAAGAATCTTCTTGAAATACGACACTTGGTTGGCTCCAGTCAAAAGAAGGAGTAGAGTTTGACTGCTTCTCTGAGGAACCCTCTGAAGAAGATTCAAGGCCATTCATAAAAGACTGTGACCAATCAACAGCAGAAGACTTATCTTCCCTTGTATCCAATTTTAATGAAGATGAATCTTTACTAGTATCCAGAAAACTAGATGCTCTACAAAGAGGTGTGGTTTTCTTGATGACCTTGGGCATCTTTGATAATACTTCCAAAGCCAACATGGGGCAGCCAGCTTTTAGATGAGCACTAGCAGTAGTAAAAAATAATCTTCTTTCAGTTAAATTAATTGTTCCTGCCAGTCTACTTTTTCCTGTTAAACCCACGTGTGTGGAAAATGTATCAGATGATCCAAAATGATGCCTCAGTAAAAGAGGATGTGTTCTTAGATAATTGTAGAAATTAAAAACTGCAGGGTTACAGGCTGACATCATGACTTGATCTGAAAATAAATTTATTTTATGAGGCAAGAAAAGTTTTTCAAGAGCTATATTGGGTGTATCTTTGTATTAGTCCATTTTTTCTACTGTGGAATCTTTATCTGCTTGGTCTTTTGACAAACCTGTATTACTAGATCACACTAATGTATGGTATTGAATAAACAAGAAGATATTTTTAATGAAATTACTTTGACACAATAGGAAAACAAAGATTATACTGCTTTCCCACCAAAAAATACCTCTTCTGGTAACAATTCTAATTCTTTTTCTTATATTTCTGGAAACTTTTTGTTCTACTTTGCTAGCTCTCCTCACCCTCTCTACTTTTTAACGTTGACGGTGTACTAAAGCTCAGTTCTTGACCTCTTTTCTAGGTATATTCCCTGAGTTGAAGTCTTATTGTCAAACGGCTTTAAACAACATATATATATATTCCACATCTTCAGTCCCACTTCACTTTGAATTTCTAAGTTCTAACACCCAAAGGTACATGTTGCATTTCCATTTAGATGTATACAGTCTTGCCAGTGGGCCTTTTTATTTAGTGTGCCCTTGGCACAGACAATTCTTTTCCCAGACAATACTGACTAACTTGTTCAACTAGTTCTATGCTGAAAGGCCATCTTATCACAGAAGAATTCGTGACCCAAAATACTTCCTCATATCATATACCTATTGCTTACTCTAATATGCACAGTAAATTCAACTTAAGATAAAAGAACTGGCTTTGTATCAGTACTTTTTCAAAATATTTATATGCAAATGCTGATATTTATTTTCAGTAAATCTGTTTCATAAAAACAGAATCTAAAGTTGTTTTCAAAGGATTTATCTTCCTGAAAATAAGCAAAATTGAATACAAATCCCCATGTCTCCAAAACCATAAAGTCATAAAGACCATAAATTCAATTTGTTTTATATACCCTCGGCACCCAACAGTGATCTGCACACCTAGGAAATACTAGTAACACTCTCAGTCATTAATGTGTTAGAAGTGCAGCTTACCATCATTTTCTCTGACAGGTTGCTTTATTAATGTTTCCAGAGCACCACTATAATCTTCCAAAATCCAGTATGCCATACTCCGAAGAAAAGGATCATAGTGCATATTTATGTTCAATGAACTGGGTTCACTGACAGGAGAACCAATTCCCAGCACTTTTTTACGTAAAACAGATTTGTATGTTGCAGATGTATCAAATTCAGACTCATAAAGTCTTGCTATTACAAGAGCCAACTGAATGTCATTCAGTTTCTCAAGACATACCTTAAAAAAATATTGTTCATAAATAAGCAGAGGGAACTTTCATTTTAGAATAAACTCAACTCACTAACAACTAGAAAAACATAGGCTTAATTTCCAAAATAAGCAAAAAGGATAAAAAATATACTGCTTGTGTTAACAAATCTACTTAACAACATTTGTTAATATTTGCTAGTACTAAGTATATATTTGTTAAACGATTTAGCCTATTTAAGAAACACTAGATAATGCTTACCAGTGTCATTTCAAACTATGTATTTTATTTTACTCTTGAACTTTTACTTTTCTCCACCCACTTCAGCAGACTATAGTATTTCCCAAATAAAAGGCTGTTCTGAATTAATTATTAGACTCTGAGCACAAGGGAAATTTAAGATAGAAATGTTATAGCTTAAGTGTTGATAATTTTTAAAGTTTCCTGAGAAATATTCAGTGAAAAATTGTCTAAGATTTATCAACTAAGACATAAACACACATTCAAAAGTCTAAATTGATAGAACAGACCTTTTAATTTTTTTACCTGTTCATGAATATTTTTAAGACTGAAATGACCTAATCAGCCTACCCAACCAATTAATCATTCTAGTTTATACTAATTTTGATATAAAATCATTCAAGCTAAATAAGAAAAATTTTAAAGCCATTATTAAATATTATCAGTTACATTAGGTTTTAATCCTGTGTTATTTCTACTAAAGTTGAACTTTAAAACTAACAATTTAAGACCGACATAAAGAGATTAATTAGAAAGATAATGCTATTTTTTTAAAAAGTTTCATTACCTCAATTGCATCTCTGAGGCAACCAGCTAAAAGAAAAAACGCTGCAGAATGTTCAAATCTTTGTTTGCCTAGCAAAGAAAAAGCATTCTTTAAAGCTGCTTTCCGCCATCTCTCCTCCTCAAAATTGTGTCCAAAAAACTGTGTCATCCGAGTGTCTTTTTGAGATCTATAAAGGAAAGTATGAAAAGGTTGGGATACAATACCAGAATTAATCTTCTAAAGTTAGGACTAACTTGGGAATCAAAATTACTAGTACCTCTTATATAGTTAAAAAAAAAATTTACTTTTCCATGAAGTCTGAGACTAACAATTTTCTTTCAAATTACAAAGAAAAATGCATGAGCAACACTCTAAAAAATTCTTAAAATCCATGCAAAATAAAATTATAGTATTAATATGAAATACTTCATACTAACTTCTGTGCTCCTTTACCATTTCAACTTCATCAATTATCTTTCTCTCTTACTCAGCTGGGAATGACTTTGATGATCAAAATCTAAGGATTCTGCCCTTATTAAAAACAATCCTGAAAGACCTAGTCTTGTAGAAAACTGATTTGGTACTAAGATTTTCTTCCAAAGGCAGTTGTTTATGCAGAGCACCTGGGAACTAAAATCAACATAATGAACTACTTATCGTAATTATGTTCAAAAAATCCTGAGAGAGATACAGAAAAACTGTATGTGAATTCAGCTCAGGGATGAGGTCAGTGCCCACAGGAGGACAGTTTTGACAAGTAAAGCCTGGCCTATGGGTTCTCAGTGGGGCTCAGGGTAGACATTTGTTCTAGACTCCACCAATTCATCTTTCCCAATCCCAAATGCAAGTTTTTAGTTTAGTGATCTTTGTACTACAGAAGCCTCTTGATAAGTTCTTAAAATAAGCAAAGATATATTTCTGGATTGACAAATCCCAAAACAAACTAAAATGACCTCTCTTTTTACCATAGTGGAAAACACCTAAGCCCTTCCCCTATAAGAATTAATATAGGGGCTGGGAATTTGGCTCAATGGTTCCGCCGCCTGCCTCGCAAGTGCAAGGACCCGAGTTCGATCTCCAGTACCAAAAAAAAAAAAATTAATATGAATTAACATCAAGAAGAACAAATCTTACTTTACGCATCTACACATGAAAAGTTTATAACTTTGAAGCACAAATTATTTTACTTACCTATATAATCCCCAAATCACAGCTTTCTTTTTCATTGCAAGGTAAAAAATGGCAGCATCTAAAGGATCGTTCTTTCTATAAAAGGCTGCTTTGGCTACCTATAATTAAAGTATATAGCAAACTTTCACAAAAATGGTTGGTAAGTGAACAAGCAATTTCCCTCCTATACAAGATACATGTTTTCTATTTAAATGTTAAATATTTTTTAAAAAGGTATTCAATAGTATTTTTCTGTGTGTATATACAAATAATAAAAGAAATTCATGGTAGCTGTGGATACAGACTTTTATGTACCAAGTCTACAACCTTTTTTGGCGGGGGGGGAGGTACTGGGGATCAAACTCAGGTCCTTGTGCTTGCGCAGCAGGTGGTGAAACCACTGAGCTAAATCCCCGGCCAGGTCTACAGCCTTTTATGACAAGCTCTTCTGTACTACTTTATTTTTCTTTACATATATGTATCTTTTTTATAAAACTCAGAAAAATACTATTGAATGTGTTGACTGCAGGTTTAGGAATTATATAAATTTTTAAAAATTACATTATTATATTTTGAAATACACTGTGAAGATTATTTAAAATGAAAAGAATTCGTAGCAGAGGAGCTGCAGAATGCCATTTAAATAAGCATCCAAAATATATCAATCCTTTTTTTTTTTTCGTACCAGGGATCAAACTCAGGACCTTGTGCTTGTGAGGGAGGCAGCAGCACCACTGAGCTAAATCCCCGGCCCTATTGATCCATTTTTTACACCAAAGTGTCTTTACACCACACCACACCATTTTGTACACCAAAGTGCGGTTTTACACCACAAACACACTTACTTTTTCTATACATTTGCGTAAGGTATGGGTATTCCGCACCCACCACCCAACACCCATAGCTTTCAGTTCAGACCAAGTGGGATCTTTGTGCATTGCTGGCAACATGTTCAGCAGTTCTTCTTCTGCTACTGAGTGAAATGCCCAAGCAAAATGACTAGTAGATAGGCCTGAAGAAAGGGCAAAAATAATGATTGTAAGAAATATAAATAAGACTATACAATGATTATCATAAATGTGTGGCACATATTTACAATAAAAATATGTAAACTTTTATAAGACATGCAATTACACTTAATTTTTAAGAAGTATGGCTTATTTTTTATTCTTGACTCTCCCAACAATTTACTAGTCCAATGCACATATATTTTTCCTAATTAATGTAATATAATTAATGTTTTTGTATACATTTATTGGAAAATATATGTAAAAATCTTTATGAAAAATGCCAAAATGCTGCAGTACTTTTGTTCTTTAGGTACAGTATGACCCATGACTCTTTTCAGAAAATGAGAAACACCTGAAGCAATGTTTTATATTGGTATGCTTTTCTCTTTAAAGCTGCTTCTCATTTCCTTTTAGTCAACATTGGTTTTATGGATTTAATTCTATGGAATTGAAAAACATCAAGCAGACAAAATAGCTTGGTAAACTAATAAGCACAGCAACACTAATACTACAAAATCAGAATGCATACATTAAATTTCAGTTCTACTGCTAACTGCACAAGTTTGGGCAAGTTAGTTTCTTAATGCCTCAATTTCCTCATTTAAAAATGCGAATGGTGATAGAATTATCATATTACATAGTTTAAAGGGATTAAATTACATAATATAGTTAAGTAATTTTGAATATAATGTGGCCTATGACTATTAATATACCATAAAACATTAATAAAATATTTTGATAATGATTCACACATCATTTGTGTCTGCAATCTACTGGCCTGCACATGTGTTTATTGCTCGGCATCTATTTTATTTCATTACAGTATATTTTATTTAGTATTACTAGACAAAATAAATGACTAAGATGTGGCTTTGACATACATATATGGCCTCATATTTTTTAAGCTATGCTAAAGAATAATTTTTCATTAAATAGATATTAGCACTCTTGTGTTCACTGTAGCACTGTTCACATTAGCCAAGATAGAGAACAAACAAACTGTCCATAAGCAGATGAATGGATTTTTAAAACGTGGTTTACATATGTAATGGAACACTAATCAGCCTTAAAAAAGGAAATTCTGCAAACCCTGAAGACATTATGTAATTATACTAAGTGAAATAAACTAGGCACAGAAGGACATATACTGTAAGATATCATTTATAAGAGCTATCTGAAATAGTCAAATGCATAGAATTGAAGAATCAAGTAATAGTTATTAGGGACTGGGAGAAAGAAGAACAGAGTATTCATCAAGAGACACAAAGTTTGTCAACCAAAATGAATTAAGCTATAGAGATCTACTATCCAAAATTGTACCTAGAGTCAAAAATAATGTATTATTCACTTACAAATTTTAAGAGGATAGATTTCATGTTGTGTTCTTACTATAATAAAAAAATGTTTTTGCCAGAGAATCATTGGGAAAAAAACAGGGAATAACAAAAGCAGAAACAGAAACTAATATAATATCCAAAGGGAATGTGAGAAATCAAAATAGAAACTAAGAATGCCTTAGGCTCATCAGTGGACCCAACATGGCCAACAAAAGAATAAGTAAGCCTACAAAGAGGACAATAGAAAGTTCTCAAACCGAAATGGAAAAAAATAAAATGAACAAAATCAAAATAGGATATCAAGAACTGTGGCTAATTACAAAAGGCATGAAATAAGTATGAGTGGAGCACCAAAAGGAGAAAAAAGAAACAAGAAAAAAATTTTCAAGCAACAATGGCTGAGAATATTTTCAAATTAATCACAGAACTAGGAAACTCTGAGAATGTTGAACAGGATAAATTAAATCCCCACCACCAAACACACTAATATATACTACATTCAAATTACAGAAAGGAAAGACAAAGAGAACTTTTACCCAGAACAACACACAAACACATCCAACAACAATTACAAGAACAACAACAACAAAAATACCACTTGTCTGATTAACAGATTTCTCATTGCAAACAATACAAACTAAGAAGAGAACAGAGTGAAATATTTAAAATCTTGAGAAGAAAACCCCACAAACTTAGAATTCTATATTCTCCAAAATGACCCTTCAAAGTTGAAAGAAAAATAAAAAATTTCTCAAATAAGAACTGAGGAAATAATTGCTAATAAATCTATTCTGCAAAAAAACAAAACAAAAAAACTTTAAAATATGTTCTTCAGATGGAAAAGGATGCTTGTTCTACATAAAGAAAATAAAGCACTCAAAGAAGGATAAGTGAACAAAAAAAAACTTTAGATTTTAAAATTCTTAATCTATCTAACAAATATGATTGCTCAAAATATGTCAAACTTTTACATGTTAAAACAATAAAGATAACTTCATTATATGTGACTATAATATATATATATATATATATATATATATATACACACATATACCTATGTATGCATAGGTATAAGTGAAATTAGTGGCAGCAACAATCCCATGGATGAGAAAAAGGAATTAGGATTATTTTGTTATTATAAAGCATTCACGAAAGCTGCTGACTGGCTTCCAAGAAGATGGCAGAGTGGTGAGCAGCAAAGAAAGAGCTTCTCTGAGATTTGGTGTCCTTACACTGGAATATAGCAGCAAGAGGAGGAGGAGGAAAGAAATGGGACCCCAGGACCCAGGAAGGATCTGAGGGGAGAATTGAAGTCAACAAGGAGAATGAAAAGAGAGACTTTAAGGAAGAGGAGGGAGGTGCCAAGCAGCACTCTCTCACAGAGCCTGAACGCTCTGCGAGGGAATGACAGTGGGCTGAACCTGCAGACATATGGTGACTGCTGAAGACCTCAGAGGGCTCCATGGAGAAACACACCAGTGGAACAGAGCAATGGATGCACTAGACTGCACCAAGTGGTGAGTTATCGGGATTCAGACCTCAGCCAGGAGAGGGTGATTGGCTGGTAGCCATCTTGGAGAGGGGCCAACTGAGCTCTGAACTCAGAATAGCTGCAGGCAGACTCCATCTAGTGGCTTCCAGTGTCTTGATGCAGGTGCTGAGTTCAAGTCACCAGGTAGTCAGGGAGAGGAGGTCAAGCCAGCAGGAGACAAATAAAGACTGTTGTAGGCTCAAAGAATCCGGTTCCAGCCTATTAGCCAGAAACTGGCCCGAATTTCAGAGGAACTAAAGGGGCAGGCTGGCTGGGATTATCTACCACCTCACCATGAAGTTGCAGCTAGCTTCCTGGGATTAATCAATTTGGCTCTGGACTCTGATTGCCCACACTGTCTAACAGTGACAGCAGAGACACACCTTCAATTGGACATTTTTTTGGTTTTTTATCTTTTTTCTTTCTGTTTTCCTCTTTTCTAGTTCTTCTATTGTTTTTAGTTTTTTTCTTGATAGTTTGAACAGAGTTCTAGTTTTTGTTGCTGTTCTGTTCTTTTTTATTTTTTCCTTTCCTTTTCCAACTGTCATCTTCACCAGTTTCCTAACATTTGTCCTCTAGCCTTGCTTCTGACCTCTTCCTTTTCTTCTACTTCTGTTTTTTATACCCTAACCCCTTTTAAATCTTGTCCCCTAAAGGTAAAAGCCACATTGAGGGCGAAAATTTGACATTTTCTAGGCTGTATTTGATGTTATTGTTATTGATTGCACTACTTTAGCCAAGGTGACATAATTGTGCTAATCAGTTGTTCCTCCTGGTATACCAAGACTGAGATTGCCTAAGGCTCTTAAAAAAAAAAAAAAAAAACACCTATAGGCCAGTGCCAAAGAACTGGCAGCTGAGCCAAGTAGGCAGAAACTTCTCATCCCCAATAAATTGAAGCCTGCAACAGACTCAAAACCCAAAAGCTAGCTACAACTGGAAGATGCTTCTAAGAAGTGGTCATTTCCTATGGGTTCTTAATACTGGAAATAAAGCTACTTGCTATAAGCAATTTATAAGCATCAAATCAGGAATCAAACTAAAAAAAAAAAAAAGAAAATAAGAAACACTTAAACAAGATGCAACCCCACAGACTTTCAGCTCACCAAAGACAAACCCCCGGGGCAATGAAGTGGAACAATCCAAAAGCCACCCACCTGGACTCCCTGGAGTGTTAATAGAAGAAGTAACAAAGCAAATGAACAAAGCTTGAGAAAAACATCAAATGCAGAAATAAATTCCCAATAACCTCAGAGATGGTGACCAGAATGAAAGATACAGATAAAAAAACAGAGGAGCTCAAGAACATTATGGAAACCATGAATGCCCAGTATAGGAAAGAAATGGAATCCATGAAACAGATTCAAACACATATCCAGGAGATTAAAAACTCCACTGAAAGTATATGCAACAGATCGAGCCAATGCAAGGACAGAATATCGAATATAGAAGACAAGATTGTAGTTAGCAATCAGGAAAAGAGAGATTTTTAAAAAATACCAAGGGACCATGAGAAATCAATCCAACAGCTGCTAGATGATGCAAACAAGAATAACACAGGATTGATTGGAGTCAATGAAAAAGCAGGGAACAGCTCAAGTGACATAAAAAAAAACCTGTTCTCAGAAGTAATGGCAGAAAACTTCCCAAATAGGGAAAAATAATTTGACATACAGACAAGTGAGGCATACAATCAATTACAACCTAATTAGCCATCATCAAAAAAAAAAATCTTCCCAAAGCCAAATAACAGTCAAGATTCCAGAAATTCAACACAGGGACAGAATATCAGAAGCTGTTAGAGAAAAGAAACAAATCACCTATAAAGGAAAGCCCATCAAAATCATAGCAGACTTCGGGCTGGGGATTTAGCTCAGTGGTTTTGCCACCTGCTGTGCAAGTGCAAGGACCCAAGTTCGATCCCTGGTACAAAAAAAAATCATAGCAGACTTCTCAACACAAACTCAAGTCAAGGAGAACTTGGAGTAAAGTATTTCAAGCCCTAAAGGAAAACAAGCTCAAAGCCAGATTGATGTACACTGCAAAACTATCCTTCAAAATTGATGGAGAAATAATATACTTCCATGACAAAGAACACCTGAAGAAAATCATTACCACCACACCAGCATTTCAA